CCACATCATTACCAACCACATCATCATCATCATCAACCTCATCATCATCATCCTCATCAGCATCATCACCATCATCAGCATGAACATCCGCATCAGCACCACCACCATCCTCCTCCTGATTACCAACAACGACACCATCCTCATTCTTTTCGTCCTCAGCTTACCCATCCTCATGATCACAATCATCATCACCATCATCATCATCATCAATTACATTATTATCACCAACGTCATTATCATCATCATCATCATCACTATCATCACTATCATTACCACCACCGTCGTCATCATCATCACCATCATCATCACCAACATCAGTATTGCGAAGGCTTTACGGCCAGTGCCGCCGACCCTGCATGGCGGCGACAACCACGACCACAACGACGAAGCCTTCGGGGGCGTTCTGGGGGTACTTTGGGGGCCTCTTGGGAATCTCTTGGGGGCCGCTTGGGAGCCTCGTGGGGGCCTCCTGGGGCTTCCTGGGGGTCTGCTGGGGGCCTCTTGGGTCTTCTTGGGCGGCTTCTTAGGGGCCATTGGGGGCCTTCTGAGCGCTTCTCAAGCCGAGGGCTCGACATGTCCGTTCGGTTCCCCCGCCTGGGCTCTCTCTTACAACCGTTTTGGGAGCCTTTTCGATTGTCTTGGAGGCCTCTTGGACGGTCTTGGGGCCCTCTTGGGTCGTTTTGGGGCTCTCTTGGACCCCTCTTGGGCCATCCTGGGGCAGTCTTGGGGACCTCTTGGCCTGTCTTGGAGCGTCGGGAAGAAGCTGACAAAGCGACAATGCTGAAATCTTTCAAACAGCTAAGAGAAATCGATGACTTTTTTTCCTTGGTGCCCGCTTTGAGGTCCTCTTCGAGGCCTCTTGGGACAATCTAGAAACCTTTTGAGCCGTCTGAAGTCTACTTTCGCGACTTGGACCGATACTTCGGCGATTCGGGGCCTTCGAGGACCGTCTTGGGGGCATCTTCGGGCATTTTTGCCGCGTTTTGTGGCTTTTCTGGGTCCCCGAACCGCCCGTGGGGGAGTCGTATCTCACCCGGGATTTCCCCGGGACTTCCCTGGGACTCCCCCGGCCCCTCCGCTTTTGGCGGGGAAGGGATCAAAGGGAAGGGGCTTCCCTTCGATTCCACTACAACGTTGCTCAATTTCGATGTGGCTGGCGCGCTCCACGACGACAACGACCACGACGACGACGACGACGACGACGAGTCAAACGGAACAGCTTCTTCCACACGCCGACAGGGTCGGTGGATTACTAGGATCGTCAACATGCTTATCATCATCATCATCATCATCACACTCGTCACAATCCACGTCCTCATCCTCATGATCATCACCACCCCTATCATCACCGTCATCATCATCATCATCATCATCATCACCATCATCATCATGACCATCATCATCATCATCAGCAGCATCAGCATCATCATTATAGTCACCAATGCCATCATCAGTCCCACCTTCATCATCCAGACCATCATCATCAACACCATCAGCATCACTATCAGTATCAGCATCAACATCAGCATCAGCATCAGCACCATCATCAGACTCATCATCAACATCGCAATCGTCATCACCACCATCATCATCATCATCATCATCGTCATCATCATCATTACTAACACAAACATCAACGCAGCATCAAACTCACCACCATCACCATCGGCATCGTTACCAGCGTCACTACCAATATCATCACCATTACCATCATCACCATCACAATCACCATAATCATCATCAGCATCATCATCATCAGTATCATCATCATCATCATGATCATCATCATCATCATCATCATCATGATGATCATCATCATCATTATCATCATCATCATCATCCTCGCCATCGTCATCGTCATCGTCATCGTCTTTGCCACCGCCATCGTCATCGTCATCGTCATCGTCATCGTCATCACCATCACCATCACCATCACCATCACCATCGCCATCTCTAGCATCGTCACCATCGCCATCACCATCGCCATCATCAACACCATCATCATGACCATCATCTTCACCACCACCATCCATCCCTTGTGTGTGCGAGGAACGGCTCGTCGGATATCGACTCTGGGGCAGCTGGGTGTCGGCTGCCTGGGGGCTGCGGTGCTGGTAGCAACGGGGACGACGCTGAGGGCTTGCCGATCCATGTTGAGCTCCTGCAGGAGCTTGTGGGTGTGCATACGGAGGGCTTCCAGGTCATTCCGAATCCCGTGAAGAAGAACGTCTCAGTGGACGTCTCCTGGTGATCCTCCTGGGCGCGGGGGCGCCATGGGGGTGGCCCAGGCGCACGTTTCCTCGGCCGTCGCGAGGGACTCCGCAGGGTTCGCGGCAGGGAGGTCGACGGGCGGCATTCTCAAGGTGAAGCTTGTGTCGACGCTGATGGAAGGGTAATTACATCCCGGACGCACGCATGGCGCGCGGGCCTCGCAACTTGCGGAGCGAGGGGTGAAGACGTGGTTGTCGCGCGGCGGCCCCTGCCCATGGCGGCCGCGGCGAGCGGAGGAGTATGAGAGGTGGGTGTCGCGGGGAATCCGTCTGCCGCAGGGAATCCAGCTTCGCCAGGAGGATTTCGAGGACCTCGGGGGTGAGACAAGGCTCAAGCCAAACTCGCAGTGGGGGGTCGGCCCATCCCGCCACCGTGCACAGGCCGCCAGGATGTTCGTTGGGATGTCGTGGGAGGCCTGTCGGGGGCCTCTTCGGGGCTGTTTTGAAGCCTCCTGGGGGCCGTTTTGGGGCTTCTTGGGGCGTCTTTGGGGCCTCTTGGGGTCTCCTCGGGCCCCACTGGGGTTCCTCCTGGGGCCTCCTGGGGGTCTCCTGGTGGCCTCATGTGGCGGAAGACTCGGATTTTCTTCACCAATTGCGGCGTCCACCAACATCGCAGTGCCGACGGTAGCGTGACGCTCGACCCGTTGACGAGTACATCGACGCGCTGATCCCCATCCAGCCCGTCGACCTGGTTAAGTCGAAAGCCGACGAGCCGGCCGATGGTCCACTCCCTGACCTGTTTGTCTCCCTCTTCGGAGCAGTTGCCTGCGCGCTGCTCGCGAAACACCACGTTGCCGACTAGAGTCTACACCGTCGTATTGCAAAGGGCCAAGAACAAACTGCTCATCAGTGACTTCATGCAGTTTAGCGCCGTTGTTCTGGCCATGTGAAAATCAAGTCGCGCATGAGTGCGCCAGCAAGATCTGTGTGCGCAGCGACGGCCCTTTCAAGCGCGAGGGGGAGACAGGATATGGCGTGAGAGGTGCCGTATACATGCGTCTCGGCAAGTGTCGCAGTATTGATAAACAGATATGCCATGTGCTCGATGCTGTGGGCCGATCGCGCGAACTCGTGTGTCGATCGTCATTCGGCTCCGAGCTGCTCGCCGCGTGTGGGGGGCAACAGACGGGCTACAGGCGCGCCTTCTCGCACCCCGCGAGATAGCACGAGGACTCGCGTCAGCAGACGAGATCACGAGGCTGAGGGAGGAGGGGCCGGCCGAGCTGGTCGTAGACGGCACGTCCGTCTTCTTGTCGCTGGCCATGGACCACGTGCGCCCGCCGTCCGAGAACAGCGCGGCGCGCCACTTTAAGTGGCTAGCGGACCAGCTTCGCGCCAGGCAGCAATCCGACATGTTGTGGTGCAGCACCCGTGACATGCGAGCAGACGCCACGACGAAACGGTAGCATCGGCAGGGAGCTCATCTTCGACATCATGGAGGGCAAGCTTGTTTACGATTATTCTACAGTGAGGTTCAGCGAGGAGCGCAATAAGAAGAACGTCCCAAGCTCCAGCTGCAGCGACCTCACCAAGTTGCGGACTGAGGCGATCTATGTCCGCGAAGCAAAGTAGTGAGCCATTCCGCTCCGCATGGGGCGAACTGTGTTCGCAAAGTGCGACCTTGTGAGCCACTTTGAGGAGAAGTTACTTTCTTGAGTTGTTCCCTACCTAGGCTTTGCCTAGAAGGGTTCTGGCCCTCTTTGCTTAAAGGGGCCGGGCAGTGTAACGCGCCCCGGGCGGTTCCCCCAGGATCCGCCCCGTGGTTCCCCCAATTACGTCCCCTTAGCTAAGCGTTGCTTATTTCATCTTAGCTGAGCTTATTCCATCTTAGCTTAGCTTAGCTTAGCTTAGCCTAGCTTAGCTTAGCTTAGCTTAGCTTAGCTTCATCTTAGCTCAGGTTTATGCTATCTTAGCTTAGCTTACCTTCGTTTTAACTTCGCTCTTTGCATAGCAGAACACAGCATAGTATAACATAGTAAATCATAGCATAGTGCAGCATAACACATCATATCATAGCCCAGCATAGCATAGCATAGCGCAGCATAGTGTAACATAGCGTCGCATGGTATATCATAGCATAGCGCAGCTTTGCATAGCACAGCATAGCATAGCTCATCATATCACAGCGCATCATGACATTCCATAACATAGCGCAGCATAACATAGCGCAGCATAGCATCGCACATCATATCATAGCATAGCATCGCGCCGCTTAGCATGGTATACCTCATGGCATAGCATAGCAGAGCACAGCTCAGCATAGCACATCGCAGCATGACATACCATAACATAACATATCATAGAATAACATAGCGCATCATATCATAACATATCATAGCAAAACATAACGCATCATAACATGGCATATCATCGCACAACGCATCATAACATAACACGGCCACTAATGTTGCTTTCCTAGGGGTTCGAGCTTCTAGGTAGGGGCGCACTGGGGTAATGTTCGAGAGGCAGAAGGTGAATGGAGAGGCCATTTTCTTCCTTCCCCTCCGCCTCCTCCCCCTCCTCCACTTCCTTTTCCTCCTCCCCCTCCTCCTCTTCCTCCTCCTCTTCCTCTTCCTCCGCCTCCTCCTCCTCCTCCTTTTCCTCTTCCTCTTCCTCCTCCTCCTCCTCCTCCTCCTCCACCTTTCTTCCTCCTCCCTCTCCTCGTCCTCCTCCTGTTCCCCTTCTTTTTCTTTCTCAGCGTTGCGCCCTTCCTCGCCCGCCGCCCGCCAGCTGAGTTCTCCGTCGGGGCGCAGCGGCGGCAGCCCCGCTCGGCGCAGCGCCGCGGGCAAGCCGGCGCCCTCGCATTGTCCGGAGGCGGGGTCGCTATCCGTGGCGCCTGTCGGCTCGGCGCTGGAACCCCCGCGGTCGACGTCGTGGTTGTCTTCGTCGTCGTCGTCGTCGCCGTCGTCGTCGTCGTCGTCGTCGTCGTCGTCGTCGTCGTCTTCGGCGTCGTCGTCGTGGTGGTCGTCGGCGTCGTCGTCGTCGTCGTCGTCCTTTCGTCGTGATGGCATGGTGGTCGTCGTCGCGTTCGTCGTCGTAGTCGTCGTCGTCGTCGTCGTCGCGGCGTCGGTCCTCGTCGTCGTCGTGGTCGTCGTCGTGGTCGTCGTCGTGGTCGTGGTGGTAGTGGTAATGGTGGTGGTGGTCGTCGTCGTTGTCGTCGTCATCGTCGTGTTCGTCGTTGTCCTTCGCCTCCTCGTGTTCCTCCTTCCCCTTTCTCTCCTTGTCCCCGTCCGTTCCCCTGGACTCGAACAGTATCCATCGTGCTTCTTTTCACCTTTGCCCAGCCTGCTTCTGTATTTTATTACAGCATACTGGTTTACACATGCAGCCGGACTCTGGCTTTGTTTTTTCATCCGCATGTGCTTCCGTATGTGGTGGCAAAACTTCGGCTCCAATGCCACGGCCGCGTTGCCTTCTTTACATCCACATCGTCATCTTGCTGCATATATGGTCGTATGCACCTCTTCCCGCTCGCCGCGGTAGGTGGTGTCGTTACTATGGGGTCCGTGGGGGCGTCCGCCCATCCGCCACGACCGGCGACGGGATAAGGCGCACGCCTATTTCAATCAATGCGAGCTCTTCAAGGACACCGGCCGCCCGTCGGCTCTGTCAGAGATCCCCCCGTGCTCGCGTTGGCTGCCATCGCAATCCGCGGGCCCAACGCTGTCAATGCATCCGCTTGTGGGTGTAGCCGCAATTTTCAAACAGTTGCTCGACGCAGCGTTTACATGTACGTTGTCAGTAAAGAGTCTCGCGCTTATGGCGACAGTGTGGCGAGAGCTTTTTTTGGGGAAACGAACAGAAAATAACGGTGGGGCAACGGATGGCTTGGCGACTTTGTTGCCGACGGTCCGAGGAACAGCGAATCCCAACTGGGAGGACCATCGTTCTGTCCGTTGGAACACGACGACCTGTCACCTCAACTGCCCACTCATTCCCTGCAGCCTGGCAGGAGTGGGTCCCGATTCGCACTCCTTTGGGCGATCGTGCAGTTGGCGTTGTTCAAGGCACTGGCAACTCCGCGTGCGAGGAACATTTGTTCCCGTGATTTTGTTGCGGGATGCTCCGAGTACCGGGAGCACCGCGTCCACGCGACGGAAGCATGCGCCCAATGCGCATACGAGGAGGAACGCAGTCGGGGCACGTCTTGCAGGCGCACTTCCCGACCAGCGACGTTGGTGGATCCCCGGCGTCCAGCGCCTCGACCACGCGGGGGGGGCCTGCATTCTTGATGGAAGTCCATCGGAATGGGCAGGATTTCCGTCACCAGGGGCATCTCCTGCATGAGTGCGCGCGGAGGGAGCGGCAACATGCGGCGCTTCCTCACTTGGGGGCCCGAGCAGCAAGCTCGCGCGCCCTTCCAGAAATGGGCGCAGGAGGTGATGATCTGGTCAGTTGCGAACTCAGGCTTCGACGAGTTCAGACCTCAACGAGTCTCGCCAGGCGGCCTACGTCTCGTCGCGCCTCGCCAGCATGGCACGCGAGTGCGTGGAATAATGGCCTGGGCTGTCCTGATCCAGGGGGTCTCTTTTGTGATGCGCAGTTTGGCCGAGCGGTGGGGCCACCAAGCGTGGGGGTCATCGAAACCTGCGCAGGGCAGAGGAGTCGATCAAGGACATGCGCGACTTCGTCGGCTCCGAAGGCTCGCTAGGCGTGTTGCGCAGGTCCTTGCGACCTCGGCCGCAAGCGACGCTAGGCTTCGAGAGCGTTGGCGAGATGCTTGTCCACCTTCGGGGCGTCGTGGGCGCCGAGGCCCAGCGCTGGCGCGACCTGTGGGCGCCGCCCACCATGGGCGAGGAGGCAGCCACCGGCGCCTTCGCCCGGATCCGCGCTGCTGAAGCCGACGAGCCCCTCCCCGACATCACGGTCGAGGACATCAGGGTTGCGCCGCGGCAGGTGCGGCTCAAGGCTGGGCTGAGAACCAACGTGCGCGGCCCGGGCGACTTCCAGAGGCTCCCCGACGAACCCCCCCGAGCTTGCCATGCTACTGCGCACGTGTGGATGTGTCTGGTTTGGCCAGGACAGTTATTACTTATCGTCGGCAGGATGCCCCCGAAAAATGGCGCTGGCGACCGCTTTGTTGGACTTGCGTCCTTGCTAGGGTGCCTCTGGTGCTTCATCAGAGAACTTCATGTTCGTAGCTGGATGGAAGAGAATGAGGCGATGTGGGGCGCTGCGGCAGCGGGGAGTTCGAGTCTTCGCGAAGCCTTCGCTCGCGCAATTCAGCAAGCTGTTCCGCGTCACTCAGGAATCTCGAGCGGTGAAGGCCTCGCTGACATTTAATTCTTTTACGATTCTACCGAGTTGCCAGGCTTAGCATCGCGTGCGCTCCGATTATCTTTTCAACCGGTAGTGTTATATCTTGAGTTACCGCATGGCGTCGCCCCGCGCGCAGCCCGCTAGTCGGGGGCCGCGTCGCGGCCATTCCAGCCCATCCGAAGCGTGGTCCAGGGATTGCGTTCGGGGGGGGGGGGGGGGGGGCGCGTCGTTTCGGCGAGGCGATGGTCCGCGCTGCCATGGAGGCCATCGCGCTAGCTTCGTTCGAGCATGGGCCGCAAGTCGTGGATCGACGGCCTTTCGCAGGGAGTGCGAGGATCCAGGCAAGCGGTTCGCAAGGAGCTGGCTGCCTGCATCACTGCCGCCTGCCAGTTCCCGATAAGGAAGTTGGATGTCTCGCCGAAGTCCGTGGTGGTTTGCTCCAGCAGCGTTGGCGCCGAGGCGCGCTGGCAGGTTTCGAGATCCCTCCCAAGTTGCAAACTAGTTCCCTAGCAGCGGGCCCGGCATGTGGGGCGCGGCCAGCACGAGCCACGCGGATTGCCAGAGAGGGGCGGCGTCGGATTATGCATCGCAAGTTTCGGCGGTTCGCCCACGCCAGCAAGGGGTGCCATCTCGCGGACTTCTTGGAGAAGCAGGGGGCCTAAACCGCGGGCGTCTACGGCCGCCGGGCCCGCGGCGCCTTCGGCGCCGAGCTCAAGGTCATTCGGCGCCAGCTAGGCTTCGCGCTGTCGGCGCCCGCAAGAGGGCGGCGCCTCGCGCCCTCGTTCGCTGCGAGCGGGGAGGGAAGGCCCCGTCGGCAGGGTGCCGATTGCCTGCCCGGACCAGTGGCTGCAAGTCTGGGGGGGCCATCCCGACTCCCGAGCGGCCGTTCGCCAGTCTTGGAAGAATGTGGTGCGTCACTTGCAGGAAGTTCCAGCTGGGTGGCGCTCTCGGCGCGCGCGAGGCCCGCCTGCCGCCGTCATGCTACATCTGGTGGAGCACGGAGGGGGAGTCGTCGAGGCTGCAGCCTGGTCTATTCCACCGCCACATCCAGCAGCTGGGGATCAATGGAGATTTGGCGACGCGATGCACGCTGTACTTGCAGCTTGGGACTCCCATGGTGGCTTTCCTCAGGACTTCAAACATACGGCCTGTCACAACTTGTGGGCGCAGGCTAACCGTCACTTGTGTTGATTGTCGGTCGTGCCAGCTGCTTTTTAGACTTGGAGAGGGGGTCCCAACCATCGGGCGCAGACTAGCGGATAGTATGCTGGCACGTGCAAGGGTGGCCACTTGGCCAAGAACCTGATCTCGCCATATATCAGAGCGCATACTTGCGCCCAAGATGCCATCCAGTTCCAGAGACGGCCCGACATCGTATACGGGCGTGTGAATGCAACGAAGATCCGGATGCATACGTGGAGTCGCAGGAGCTCATCCCGCATGTCCAAGGCCCCTGGCACCGCGGTACGATGGTCAACTCATTTGCGGAAGTCCCAACCTCATCGATTGACGACGGCTGGGCGGCAGAAGAGATCAACGAACTCAGTGAAGGCGGCCCCGGCATGGGCACTTTGCGACAGCCGCTGCTCCTCAGCGGCGGCTCCAGTGGTGGCCCTGATTCTAGCAGCACGTTGTTCCGACGCGTTGACATCGGAGTCTTTATTATTATTATTAGTATTATTATTATTATTACTATTATCAATATATTATTATTATTATTATTATATCATTATTATTATTATTATTATTATTATTATAATTTTGTTTTCTTCCCGATTGCTTGGGCCTCGTGTCGTTTGAGCTGTCGCCGTCCGTGGGCCGCTAGCTGGCCCCGCCAGGTCGTGGTTCGAGGGGAAGTGCGCGCACCTCCTCTAGCCACACGGATGACAAAAGGTTTCAATGTGTACGTTTCAGACTGCGAGCCCGTAGTCATGAGTGGCTCGAGAAACGTTTCGAGTATCCCCCAGGCCCCGACGCCGACTTTTGGGCCAGTGTAGGCCGCCTCCTCCTCAGACGCTGTTGTGCGCACCTCATCCAGAGCGTGAATTACCTCCCCCGCTTTCGCTTCAAGGCAAAACCAAGTCATACCACGCGCCTCCTCGTCAAGCGGCCTGACCAGCGCAGGCCGTAGTTTGGCGTCGCTTGGTATCTCTTGGAAGCGAGGGTGGTCAAAAACGAGGTAGGTTTGTTTGCGCCCTACTCATGGCGGTTGGTTTGGTGCATTCGAATCAGACCGCCGATGGTGTAGCAAGGCTGCAAGCCCACTGATGGAAGGTCACGGCGAACGCGCGTGCTGATGAGGTGGCAGGAGAGGCGCCCCTCGAAACCAGGCTCTCTCTCGCTGTGCTCCACAGTGCGTTGTTGCACGAAAGGAGAGCGCGCCTTGTTCACGTGAGGATTTTGCGCCCCATTTCGGGCGCATGTGCGGCCGAGGAGTCCGAGCAGCAGCAGGAGGAAGTCCAGGCCGTGCCTCTGGGAATAAAAGCGCACCTGCTGCTACTGCTGCTGCTGCCCCTCCGCCGCCTGCTTCTGCTTCTGCTGCTGCTGCTGCTGCTGCTGCCCTTTCCTTGTTCTCTTCGCCTCATTGCCTCGACCTCAATGGTCGGGGCGACAGATGATGTAGAGGCTTTGCGGCCAAGAGCTGCCTTGCAGATTGGCGGCAGCCGCCATGCTTCGAATTAGAGAACTACGACGGCACAATGTTTTAGAAACATTCACAGGTCAAGCTACGCATAGCAGCCGGATGGGTTCAGGAGTCGCATGTGTTGCAGTGCCATAGTCAGCTTCGCCTGTGGTATTGCATCGGGTGCGGTTGCTGCGCCAGCCAACAGTTGTACGATTTAGGCAGAGTTTGTTTGTGTAAGTGGACCCCACATAGATCAGGGTATCCTGATCGGGTTTCTCGTGGTCTATGGCCGAAGGTCTTAAGCTCTGCAGAGAAACGTGCCAGAGGCGTCCAAGTATAAATCACACGCCCAAGAAGACACAGCGCTTCAGCCTCCTGACAATGTCAGAGAGTCATGCTCAGGCTCATGCTCCTTCTCCTTCTCCTTCCTTTCCTGCTCCTCCTCCTCCCGTCCATCCTCCTCCTCCTCCACCTCCTCCTCCCCTCCCTCCTCCTCCTCTCTCATCCCCCTCCCTCGAGGTCACATTTTTCAATCCGGTCCCCACAACGTGTGTCGCCGCCCGCTGGATTGGGGGCCAGCGGCTCCTCCGCGTCGCTGCCCAGCTCGGCGCTGGATCACGCGCCGCCGCAGGATCTGTCGCCTCCATTGGCACTCAGATGAGGGGGGGACACGCGAGGAGGAGGAGGAGGAGGAGGAGGAGGAGGAGGAGGAGGAGGAGGAGGAGGAGGATGAGGACCAGTTCAAACCCAAGAGTCATCAAGGATGTTGGAGTAAACCCTCCCTCCAAGCACCCTCTTTGATAGGCCCCTACAACGTTTCATTTCCTTTGAGGGAACTGCCTCGTTGGAAGACAACCGTTTGAAGACCCTGAAGTATGCCAAAACATTGTTCTCGGGATTCCAACGCCAGTGATCAACCTCACTTTTGCGTGTTGACGATCCTGGGTCGTGCCAGAAAGCCATCCCTGGGATTCCAGCACGGCGAGTCAACGTTGTGCCCGTGTAATCCTGAACCCTTTCACAACACCATTTCTGGTACGTTGATGGTGAGAATCCGTGAATCTTGCGAATCTTGAACACGACTGTGCGCCGCGCTAAGGCGAGAGCCACATTTTGAAAAGGAGCCGCCCGCAATCCGTGAAACTCCTGCAATTTTGTTCAACGAATGTGCGCCGCGCTATTGCGAGAGCCACATTTTGAAAATGGGTCGCCCTCAATCCGTGAAGCTCTTGCAGGTTTTTCAAACGAATGTGCGCCGCGCTAAGGCGAGATCTATATGTTGAAAATCACCCGCCCTCAACCCGTGAAACTCTTCCAAGTTTTTAAGACGAATGCGCGCAGCGCTAAGGCGAGAACCACATTTTGAAAAGGAGCCGCCCTCAATCCGTGAAACTCTTGCAATTTTGTTCAACGAATGTGCGCCGCGCTATGGTGAGAGCCACATTTTGAAAACGGGTCGCCCTCAAACCGTGAAGCTCTTGCATGTTTTTCAGCCGAATGTGCGCCGCGATAAGGCGAGATCTATATGTTGAAAACCACCCGCCCTTAACCCGTGAAACTCTTGCAAGTTTTTAAAACGAGTGTGCGAGAGCCACATTTTGAGAACGACCCGCCCTCCGTTTGTCAAACCGTTGTCAATGTTTCAGCTTCACAGTCATAAATGGTGAGGAAGTCTCAGGCGAAACGCCCGGCCCGCCCTAAAAACTGGCCTCGGGGTGCGACAGGGAAACGTCATTTATCAGGAAAAGGAATAGGGGAGGTGTAGGAGCAGGGGGAGGTGGAGGAGGAGGAGCAGGAGGAGGAGGAGGAGGAGGAGGTGGAGGAGGAGGAGGAGGAGGAGGACGAGGACGAGGAGGAGGAGGAGGAGGAGGAGGAGGAGAAAGAGTACGAGGAGGAGGATGAGGAGGAGAATGAGGAGGAATACGAGGATATGCAAGGACGCGATATGGAGGAGGAGGTCGAGGAGGAGAGGCCAGGACGGGAGAAGAAGGACGAGCAGGAGGAGCCGTGGGATGAGGAGCAGGAGGAGGAAGAGGACCAGTGTAAACCCAATATTCGTCAACGATGTTTGAATAAACCCTCCCTCTGAACTCCCTTTCCATAAGCCCCTTACTCGGATTCATTTCTAGTGATGGAAGTGCCTGCTTGGGGGACAAATGTTTGAAGATCTTGAAGCGTACCAAAACACTACTGGGGATTGCAGCGCCAAGCTGACTGTTGCGTCTGGGCGATCCTGACTCGGGCTTCGACTCAATGTAACTGTTGCGCCCTGACAATCCTGGCTTTTTCCAAAACACCGTTTCAATCGCCAACCATGGGAATCCGTAAGGCCAGAGCCACATTTGGATTGCAGCCGCAGGGCTTCACAAACAAAACGGTAAACCGAGTAACCAGTAGACCGATGAACTATTTCGGTAGATCGGTATATCGGCTGGTCGCCCGAGAAGGTGGTACCATCGTGATTGTGGTGCCGATGATGAATATGTCGAATACGACAAACACTGCGACGATGATAATTGTGATAGCGGTGGCGATGTCGACGAGGGCGATTCTTATGACGATCATGCTATTGCTGATGATGATGATGGTGATGATTCTGCTGATGCTGATTGTTGAAACTGATGACAATGATGATGACGATGATGATGATGATGACGATGTTGATGTTGATGATGCTGCTGGTGATGCTGATGATGGTGCTGATGATGCTGACGATGGTGATGATGATGATGCTGCTGCTGATGATGATCATGATGAGCAGGAGGTTGAGGAGGACGAGGAGGAGGATGAGGAGTACGTTGGAGGAAGATGATTGGGAGGAGGAGGATGAGGAGTTGGATGAGGAGGATGGGGATGAGGAGGAGGACCAGTGTAAGTCCAAGACATCAGCGTTGTTGCAATGAACCCTCCCTCCGAGTTTCCTTTTCATATCCCCACAAGAATTGTTCTTCATTACAGGACGTGGCCCATTGAAAGACAATGGTCCAGATAACCTAAGAAGAGATGTCATTTCCCGAAGTTCCAATAAAGGGCAGACGCGTTGCCAGGACCATAAACGAATACAATAAACAGTTGTACATTTTAATTTCAATAGGATTTGGGCCGCCTCATTTGCAGAAATTATTTCAGATTCCTTTGTCGTGCCAAAACACAACTTCAGGGACTTCAGCGCCGTGAATCAACGCACGTTGCGTCCTGACAATCTTGAACCGTGCCAGAGCACCATTCCTGGGACATCAGCCTTGCGAATCCTTGGGACCGCTACAAATTTATCAAAAGAAAGCGCACGGCGCTAAGGCGAGAGGCACATTTTGAAATGGAATCGGCCTTCATTCCTGAAACAGTTTCGACTGTTAAGGGGAATGTGCGCGCTGCTCAGGCGAGAGCTTCATTTTGAGAACGATCCGCTCTCCATCCATGAGCTTATTGCAAACTTTGATGACGAATGTGCGCGACGCGAAAAAGATAGCTCCATTTTGAAAACGACCCGCCTTCCATCCTTGAAGCTGTTGCAAATTTCAGCTTCATGATCATACACTGAGGAGGTCTCAGGCGAAACGCCTGGCCCGGCCTACGTACCGACATGTCCGGGGTTGCGCAAGGGAGATTTTTTTGAGAAGGAAAAGGGGCGGAGGAGGAGGTTGGTGAGGATGATGAGGATGAGGAGAATGAGGAGAAGGAGTAGTATATTGCCGGACGAGGGGGAGGACGGCGACGAGGAGGAGGAGGAGGAGGAGGAGGAGGGGGAGCGGTAGGCGGATCAAGGAGCATGTGGAGGCGGACGAGGAGGTTGAGGAGGATGATGGAGTAGAGGATAAGGATGAGCAACAGGAGGAGGAGGAGGAGGAAGAGGAGGAGGAGGAGGAGGAGGAGGAGCAGGAGCAGGAGCAGGAGGGTCAGGCGGGGAGCAGGATGTACCGAGCAGGGTGCCCAGCAGGAACATGAGGAAAAAGATGATGAGAAGGAGGCGGAGTAGGGGTGTGGAGGAGGATGATGAGGAGGAGGAGGCAGAGGACGGCCGAGAATGTGGAGGTGGCGGCGTACGAGGTAATGATGCTTGCGTGATGTTGGCAGTGACGATGACGATGCACAGTTTTCAATGACGGTGCCAGGTATGCTGGTAATTCTGTGTTGGTGTTGACGGGGAATGATGTAGATGCTAATGCTGATGCTGATGCTGTTGATGGTCACTATACTGACGCTACTGGTGACGACAACGCTGATGCTGACGGTGGCGAAGATGATGCTGACGACGTCGGCAGCGACGATGATGATGATCATGATGCTGATGATGCTGATGATGATGCTGATGATGATGCTGCTGATCATGATGCTGACGGTGGTGATAATGTTCATGCTGATGTTGATGATGCTGCTGCTGATGATGATACTGATGATGATTATGCTGATGCTGATGCTGATGCTGTTGATGACGATGCTGACGATTCATATGATGATGATGCTGATGCTGATGATGCTGATGATGATGATGAGGATGATGATGATAATGATGATGATGATGGTGATGATGATGATGACGATGATGATGATGATGATGATGATGATGATGATGATGATGCTGATGATGATGATGATGATGATGATGATGATGATGATGATGATGATGATGATGATGATGATGATGATGATATTTGTGATGATGATGATGTGGAGGAGGAGGAGGAGGAGGAGGAGGCGATGGAGGAGGTGGACGAGGAGGAGGAGAACGAGGAGGAGGATGAGGTGGAGGTGTTGGAATGTAGACTAGGGAAGGTTGCTCCTTGTACGGTTGTTTAGCTCACGTACTATGAGCCGCTGTTAAGCGGCGAGCATCACATGCCAACTTCCAGTACGGTTTGTTGTCACAGTTGGTCGATCTGAGCAAGTCTCCTGTTTTTGCGTGTGTTGTATGTGTGTGTGCGTGTGTGTGTGTGTGTGTGTGTGTGTGTGTGTGTGTGTTTGTGCTGGAGGACGGCGAAATTGGAAGTAGAAGAGGATGGGTATAATCATGAGGAGGAGAAGAAGGAGGAGGACGGCAACAGCGCAGCAAGGGAGAGGAGACTTATTAGGAGGAGCAGGAAATGTGCGCGTGGAAGTTTGCCCCTGTGAGCTTCCGGGACGGAGATTTTGTATGTGCCGCCCATGCGGGTGGAGCCTGCACCATCGCTGCCATCCGTCGATCAGAGTGATGCTGATACACGGTTGCATCCGTACACTTTCCATCTCATGCCGGGAACTGCCCCCGCATATACCCACATAGGCCTTCGGGAACGGGGTACTCCAGATTTCGTAATAAAGGGAGGGGGGTCTCATTTCGGGGCGGGTCTCTTCCAGGCTATTTTGGAGGGCCTGGCGGGGTCTGGGGACGATGTTTTGGAGGGTTCTCCCACGGGGGGGGTCTAAAACTTCTCGTCTGGGAGGGTTGAGACCCCCTCCCTTTTATTACGAAATCTGGAGTACCACACGTGGCGTCGCCCTTCCGGAAAGAAATCTACCCACACAGGTCGTGCGCGCATCTGCCCAACAGCAGCAGCTCGAACGTAACCGCGCTCGGCCCCTGCCGCCTCTGCTGGCTCGGGGAGACGTAAGACTCGAGTAAGCCGGAACTCGGGCCTGCCGACTTTTTTTTTGGACGAGCGCGTCCTGGATTCTGACGACCCCGCTTTCGTGGGAGGTCTGCGCGGGAGCCCGCGTCCGATTTCAGATGGAGTCTCGCCATCTTTATGAAGGTGCTCTGCTGCAGAGGCTCCCCAGCCTTAAGTCGGGCCTGTCCCCCTACAGGGGGATTTTCGACGAAAAATAAAGGATACCCCACAACTGGTCAACAAATGATACAAAGATAGTTTGGGGACTGTTCTTTCAATATGTTTGACCTTTTGGGGGTAATTTGGGGGTATTTTTCTTCCGTCGAACAACCCCCTGTAGGGGGACACGCCCTGCAGAACCCCAGCCCTTTGAACGAGTCTTACGTCCCCCCGACTGGAGAAGCCGCTCTCTCCTCCGGGGGGGGGGCAGCGCGACGGCGCCCCACTCCTGCCGCCGATCGCGCCGGCGGGCGCCGGCGACGCCGGGCTGCGCACGCAGACGCTCCGCTCGGCACGCCGCGCGCGCGCGCGTCCGTGGGCACGCGAGCGCGCCGACCGGCTGGGTAGTCGAAGGCCAGGCTGGCAGATTGGACTGGGCCCCAAGGGCCAATCTGGTGTGGCCAAATTGGAGGATTTGGGTTATTCGCCAGACTGCATTCGCGTTGGCTCCCTCGCCAGACTGCCCCCGTTTGCCAGATTGGGCCTGCCAGATTGGCTTCGACTACCCAGACCAGCATGCCCGCGCGAGGGCCCGTTCAGCGGCGCCGTAACGGATACTTACTAACGGGTACTTTGGAGAATTGCCGAAAGTTGCCACTTTAGGGCCTCTCTCTGGCATTGCAGCGTTGCCCGCATCGGGGAGGCTTGGGTTCGCCGGGCCACTCGCCAAAGTACCCGTTCGTGGAGTCCCCGTTAGAGGGGCGCTGACCCGTGGGCGCCCGCGCTACAGTCAGCCCGTGCAGGAAGGATGCGCGGCAAGGATGCAAAAGGGCCTCACAAGGCGATGTGGACGTTCTTCGGACGAGGCTGGCCAGCGAGCGCCGCCGAAGATGGGCCGAAGGGGCAAGGGTGCGAGGGGCACCCTCGGGAAAGCTGCCCGTGCTTGCTGTGCGGGTTGGCTGCATTCTGCACTCCGTGCGCGCACCGTCCACGGGCACGCAGGCGCGCCCCATCGGCACACCCGCGCGAGCGTCCAATCGGCGGCCCGCCGCCTGCGGCCAGGGCGCGGACGTATGGACCGCCTCGAGTTCGGAAAGGGTCTCGCCTGCCTGGAGGTCCTCTACCCTCCCCCTCCCCCTCCCCCTCCCCCTCCCCCTCCTCCACAATTGCTCAATACGAATCCTACTCTCCCTCTTCCCCTGATGGCGTGCTGGGAGTAGTAGACCCCCCCCGCGTACTGTTTTTTTACACACAGGATTCCCGGGAGTTGGGTTTTCGCTTGCGTTTTTTTGTTCAAAATGCTGCTCTCGCTGAGGCGCCGGCCTCATTTCTGCTCCCGAATCGTTCCGCATCGTGCTCCCGCTGCAGCGTGGGCCTCACTTTTGGATCGGTGTTTTGCCTCCGTCGTTCAGGATGGCGTTCTCGCCCCAGCGCGGGCCCCTTTTTCGCGCGCCCATCCGCCCGCCACCACCGCGCCGCACCACGCCCCGCCCCGCCGCACGCACACCCACCGCCACTTCCACCCACCAACGCACGCACGCACGCACGCGCACCACCACCGCGCACCGCCACCACCACCGCACTACCACCACCACCACCACCACCACGCTACACCGCGTCACACCACATCACACGCGCGCACACACACACACACACGCACACGCACACACACACACACACGCACACACACACACACACACACACAGACACACACACACACACCACCACCGCCACCACCACCACCGCCATCACGCACGTACGCACCTGGCCCACCACCAAACCACCAAGACGCCACACCACGTCACACCACAGCACACGCGCACACACGCACACACACACATACACACCACCACCACAACAACCACAACCACGCACACACGCACGCACGCACGCGCACCACCACCCACTACGCACACGCGCGCGGAGCCACAGGTCCGCTACGACACGCGTCCGCGGATAGAGAAAATCAGCGCCATGGTAAGGGATGGGAGGGAGGGGTAGGATGTCAGATGTTGACGCGAGCGCACCTAACTTGTCCCCCTCCCCCCTCCCCCCCCTCCCCCCCCCTTCCCGCCTCCCCCTACCCCTCCCCCTCCCCCTCCCCTCCCCCTCCCCCTTCCCCTTCCCCCCCTCCCCCTCCCCTCCCCCTCCTCCCCCTCCTCCCCCTCTTCCTCCCCTCCCCCTCCCCCTCCCCTCCCCCTCCCCCCTCCCCCCCCCCCCTCCTCCTCCTCCTCCTCCTCCTGTCCGTAGCCATTTTGGCTCTCGCCTGGTGCCAGGCCCCATAGCCGTTGGCTCGACGGGCGTGGGGCGCGAGCACGGGATGGCACGGGATGCGGCCCCTCCGCTGGTGGCCGCGCAATCCGGTGGCGATTCGTCTTCCTCTGCTCGTCGACGGCGGCGGCGGCAAGCTGGCCGTGTGTGGGCTCGCATGTCTGCGGATTGCGCTATCGGGCGCCTCGACCTTGCATTGCACGACGCTCGAGAACGTCATCAGCATCTTCTCGACGCCGTCGGGATGCTACTGGGTGGGGAGGCCGATCTTGCCGACCGCGTTTTGGCTGTCGTTCCGCATCTGCGGGCGCTGGTCTCGTCTTCGCCGAGTTCATGGGAGGATGTGCTGCGTCGGAACGTTGCTCTTCACGCCTCGGCCGACGGGATCAACGTCTCTACGGCTTCCACCCGCGAGCTCAGGGCAGCGCAGCGTGGGCCCAGGCTGGTTCGTGTCCGAGATGTTCCTGGAGGTGGTGTTTGCTCCAAGAACACCGAGCAGGAGACTGCTGGCGCCGCGGCGGCTGCTGATGGGATGACGGCGTCAGGGCGGTGCTCCGAGGTCGGGGCATGCAATGAGGACGGTGTCTTTCGCCTTCGGCTCGCTGATCTTCTTCCGCGTCTTGGGGAGGACGATTCGTGCAGCACGGCGTCGGGATCTTCCTCTACTGCCTCGGCGCCTTCTCTGGGTATCATGCCCGAGGGATGGCTTCCTCGTGGAGGCGCGCCGCCGTCGCGGGTTTGCCTTCGCGAGCCGCTCCGCGCAGATCGGCTTCCTGTACCTCCGGTCTTCCGTCCTTTCCGGGGTGAAGGCGGTGGCGATGGTGCTGGTCGTCTTCCCGCCGCCATGGAGGCGGACAGCAGCGCTGGAGATGCTGCAGGCGGAGCTTTTTTTCTCGCTGGAATTGATCCTCTTGTGCGTCGTGGTCTCCCTGCGGAAGCGGGCCAGCCTCTTCGGCATGGGCTCACTGGTGCTCCCGCTGGTGGCGGTCCCCTCCGAGGCGGCTCCTTGGTGCGTTTTCATAGTGACCCACGGCTGGTACCTCAAGAGGAATATTGGGAGTGCGTGTTGATGCCTGCCACGGACGCGGTTGGCCTCCCATGGTCGTGCCCAGGTGTCCACGCCCTCGAGTACGTGAAGCTCATCGGCGACCAGCGGCTCAATTGCCTTTCCTGCGACCTGCTCATGGATGGCATGGACGAAGACCCAGAGTCGCTCTTCGTGTGCTCGGAGTGCGGCTTGGTGTTCTGCGATGCGTGCGCGCCTGAGGGCTGGCGAAGTTGGGCATTGGCCACATGACGCTCGATTTCACGGACCCGTCTGTGTTCCTGTTCGTTGTGGTCTTCTTCGGTTTCGTGCTTATGGAGGTCTTCACGGCAGGTGCACTCACGCTACGGGTGGCCTCACCCCACCACCCGTGAGTATGCTGGGGTAGCATTGCGTTGATGTAAAAAAAAATAAAATCCTCCTCCTCCTCCTCCTCTTCCTCCTCCTCCTCTTCCTCCTCCTCCTCCTCCTCCCTCCTCCTCCTCCTCCTCCTCCTTCTCCTCCTCCTCCTCCTCTTCGAAATCGTTGTTCCTCCACTCGCTCCTCGTGCACCCAGGCAATTTCTGTGGCCAAGAAGGGACTTTGTTCATTGTTCTATCGTTCCTGGTGGTATTGGGCTGACTGACCGTGCGATCCCGACCCGATCCCAGCGTCGATGGTGTCGAGATGCGCCCGCTGACCTCTGCTGCTCCTGGGCCGTGCTGCAGCGACAGCTCTCGCCCTTCAACATGAATTCAGCGACGTGGCAGGTGGCGCCCACTGTTGCGCCATGCAGGTTTGCATATTCCAGATTTCGTAATAAAAGGAAGGGGGTCTGGACCCTTCAAGACAAGCCATTTCAGACCTCCCCCGTGGGAAAACCCTCCAAAACATCGTCCCCAGACCCCCCCCAGGCCCTCCAAGATAGCCTGGAAGAGACCCCTCCCCGAAATGAGACCCCCCTCCCTTTATTACGAAATCTGGAGTAGCTGCTTGCCGGTGTGCACGCCCACAGGCCGCCACGGCTTCCGGAACGAGCGAGCGCGAGGCGACCCCCGCTGCCGGCCAGGACGCCGCCGCCCCCGCACGGCCGCAGCTCTCGCGGAAGGCCTCGTGGCGCTCGCGCGCCTCCACCCGCTCTCGGGTCGCCCCTGCCCCGCGGGGGGGGGAAGAGCAGAAGGGCGGGAAGACGGAGGAGAAGGAGGGAAGAGGAGGAGGAGGAGGAGGCGGAGGAGGAAGCGGCGGAGGAGGAGGATGAGGAGGAGGAGGAGGAGGAGGAGGAGGAGGAGGAGGAGGAGGAGGAGGAGGGGAGGAGGAGGAGGAGGAGGAGGAGGAGGAGGAGGAGGAGGAGGAGGAGGAGGTCGTTCCCCCTCGTCGGAAACTGGAGCATGTACATCACCGGTGGCGGGTGGTCTTTCAATCCCAGGACTTTTTCGAGGGCCGGGGGCGACGTCGGGATGGTCTGGTGTCTACTGGTTTCCCCGTTTCTGGCGGAAGCAACGAAGAATGTATACACGAGGACCACGTGTACACCAGGATCCGCTTTCCTGTGCGAGATTCCGTGTGAGGCCAAACGAAGGCGTCGGTGTATATAGCTCGGTTCCCGTAAAGGGCGGGAGGGCAGAGGTCGCCATGAGGCAAAGGGGTCCTGAGGGAAGCGGGTCCCGAGGTGTCTCGCTGTTTCTGCCGAGCGGGCAGTACGCACCCATAGCCATAGGGGGGGAACGGAGGGGGCTATGGGTGCGTGTTGTCGGACGGGGCCCCCCCGCCCGAGCGGGAGCTTCCCCCGGGGTTCGACAAGCCGCACCCATACCCATAGCCAGTACTCCTCCCTCCCGCCCCCCCTGTGGGTAGGGGTGTGTGCTTGTTGTTCGTTCGTCAGCTTTCGTGCTCCCGAGGCCCTCTGCAGTTCCAGGGCTGTCGGGAAGCGGCTCAGGATTAGAAGCTGGTCCCTGGGGACCCCCCCGCTTCCTCTGTGCCCGTTGCGTGCATGCCAGAGAGAAGGAGGCCCGATGGTGGACGAGCTGGGAGCGTCGACGGGGGAGGGGGCGGGTACGAGGACCAGGAGAGTGTGTGGATATCATGGCCAGGGCCATGAGATCTGCCAGATCTCTTGGCCCCTCTTCTTCCTTCGATCAGCAGGGGCAAACAGGCACAGACACAAATAAATGCCGATGCCCAGAAAGGTCTGGGACAGCACGGAAAGTGGCGGGGAAGACGGAACTCCAGGACGCATGGACACACATGTGGGGAATCCAGGGATCCGTTGCTACTTTTTTGTGCCTCCCTGGGCGTCTTTGGCTGGCACTGGCCGGGGCGATCCTGGCGTGCGGCTCACCGCCCGCATGTCTGAGCAGGGCGCTCCGCGAAGTCGGAAACTGGAGCATCTACATTACCAGTGGCGGGCGGTTTTTCAATCCCAGGGCTTTTTTGAGGGTCGGGGACGACGTCGGGGTGGTGTGGTGTGTACTTTTCCCCCGTTTTCCAAGGGAAGCAACGAAACGTGTAGACACCAGGATCCCGCATACACCAGGATCCGCGCTCCTGTGCGAATTTCGGCGCAGGGCCGGAAAAGGCGTCGGTGTGTAGAGTTCGTTTCCCTACAAAGGGCTCTTCCTGCGCCCTCTCCCCTCGGGCGAAGAGAACCATGCACATGCACCGATGCCGGTCAGGCCCGTCCTTGGCCCAGGATCGGTGCAGGTGCCTTCCCGGCCAGGGCAGGAGGGCGCATGCGCCGATCCTGGGCTCAGGATGGACCTGGCCAACATCGGTGTACAGTCGGGGCGTTGACCTAAGGAACCCCAAATAAGGAACGAGGCCCCTTTCTTCCATGATTTAACCTTCGATTTCCGGTCGAAAACATAAGGAAAGCCCGAGGCACGCTGTGAAACACTTAGGGAACGCAGAGCCCCTCCCCAACGAAAAGGGTTCCTTCTTCAGGGCCCCGAACATACTTATACTATATGTGCGTCGCCCCCCTGGGGGCGATGCGCGCACCGAGAAATCTTGTAGTATATGCGTCGTGGCGGGCGCATTCTGGCCACACCGCTCGGGAAACGATATACTACAAGATGGGTATACTATGTGTTCGGGTCGGACGCGCGCCTCCAAGGATGACATATAGTACTAGCACGTCTTTGTGCATCCCATGTATGTGCACAGGTCTTCTTCCCCTGCGCCCCCGCACCGCCCGGCGCGCCGCCGGCCGGGGGCGTGCCGGGGCGGTGCCCCGCCGCCCAGGACGTCCGCGCGGGGCGGGGCGGCCGGCGCCGGGGGGCCCGCCCCTCGCCCTCGCACCCGCCTCGGGGGGCCTCGCCGGCGCGGGCGCCGCGCCCCGCGGCCCTTTCACCCCGCCCCCCTCCCCGCGGCGCGCGCCCGAGCGAGGCGGCGCGGGAGGGGCCCGTGGGGCGTGGTGTGAGCGGGGGCTTGGTGTGGGGAGCGGTGGGGAGTATTTTTTAATATTGTTTTTTTTTGGGTGCTTCTGTTTTTTTTTCTCTTTCCCCCCTCCAGGATGGAGGACTCAGATGGCCTTCTTGGCACAGGGACTGTGCAGACGGCACAATGAGAATGAAGTGGCAACGGTGGGGGGCTCTTGCCGTGGTCGCTTGCAGACCCGGGGGGTGGGGGGCCTCCCTGGAATGGCTCCGGGCTTAGAACCCCCGCGGGGGAGGTGGGCCAAGAGCCGGGGGGGGACCCCCCCTCCCCTGGGGGAGAGGCCCGGGAACCGGGCGGTCCCCCCCTCATTGGGAGGAGCGGGGGGCCAAGGAGAGGGGGTGGCCCACCGAAAATGGGAGAAAGCACATCCACGCAGGACAGGTTCCAACCATTTCGGTACCAATCCCCACCAATTCGTACCAATCTTTAATTCGATTTTTCTTAGAGTTCTGCTGCTCCCATCGTACTTAGGACCACATCCCAGAAATAATTTCGAGCACCTGGAGAAGTGTCGAAAAGTATCGAAAACTGTAGAAACAGTGTCGAACGAGTGTCTCCCAGGGCCCGACACGTGAAAACCCTCGAGTTTCGGTTCTTTTTGGGGACTCGAAATTCTTCCTGGTGATCCAGGCTAAAGTAGGTAGGAACATTATAATCTTAGAGGTTTCTTGGAGGTTCCTGAGAGACTCTTTACGGGATTTCTAGAGTCTCTTAGCTGGCTCACTAGAGGTTCTTTAGAAGGCTCCCTAGAGGTTCTTTGGAAGCTCCTTCGAGGAATTTCAAGGACTTCTGAAGGACTTTCTTGGGTTTCTGATGATCCATGAAGGATTTCTGAAGATCTCCAAACGATTTCTGAAGGTTTCCTGAAGGATTCTTTAGGGTTTCTGCGGATTCCTGAGGATGCCTGACGACTCCTGCGGATCTCTAAAGGATTCTCAGAGGTTTTTTGGATTCCCGGGGGATTCCTCAGGAGCCATGGATTCCATCAGGATTTCTGCGGAGTCCAGGGGGATTTCTGAAGGATTTCTGTCGGCTACTGAGGGGTTCTTGGGGATTCCGGAGTGTTTTCGAGGGTCCGGGAAGGATTCTTGAGGGTCCCACAAGGATTCTTCAGCTTCCGGAAGGATTCCTTAGGACTTCTGAAGGTTTCCGAATGACTTCTTAAGGCTCCTGGCGGATTTCTGAAGGATCCTTGCGGATTACTGAAGATTCGCGAAGGATTCCAGAGGATTTCTGAGGATTCCTGAAGCATTCCTGAACAATTCCTGAGGATTCCTGAGGAGTCCCTGGGGAATCCGGAAGGATTCCAAATGATTTGTCAGGTCTCTTGATTTTTTTTGGGTTTCAGTGGATTCTTTCAAACAGCTCATTCCTTAAGTTGTTCCGAAGGATTCCCGCAGGATTCCTGCGGGTTCCTCAGGAAGGATTCCTGAGGGTTTCGTGCCTTCGGGGGTTCGGGGGGCTCCCGAACCCATGCGGAGGGAGAGGGTGGCCGAACGAGTCGCTTTGTCCTCCGCCGCCGCCGCCGAGTCGTTCGGCCCCCGCCTCGTTGAGTGCGGGCGCGGAATCCCCCAAACCCCCGAGGGCGACGCTTCCAACGGAAGCGTTTCGTGCGTTCGGGGGTTCGGGGAGCCTCCGAAACCTTCTAGAGGGAGAGCGTGGCCGAACGAGTCACCTTGCCCTCCGCCGCCACCCTGCCCTCGTCCTTATCGAATGCATGTTCAAACAAGCACATCCACGTTTCAGGTTTCGCGTGTTTCCACCAGCCCGTCCAGTCACGTGCTTTCTTTATTGAGGCCTCTTTTTGGGCCCTGGTCGGTTAGAGGCTGTTGTCGGAAGCTTTCGTGCAGTTTGAGGCTGTCTTGAAGCCTCTTGAGCCATGCTCGACCTTCTGGGACCAGCTTTGGGGTAGGAGGAGGAGGAGGAGGAGGAGGAGGAGGAGGAGGAGGAGGAGGAGGAGGAGGAGGAAGAGGGGGAGGAGGAGGAAGGGGAGGAAAAGGAGGAACAAGAAGAAAAAGAGGAGGAAGCGCAGAGAACGAAAAGGAGGGGGAAGAAGAAGGGGAGGAGGAACAGGATGACTATGAGGAATGCAGCGCGAGGAAATTGATAAGGAGGAAAAGCAGGATGAGGAAGAAGGGCGCAGGAAAGGAGGTGAGAAGGAACGGACGACGACAAAACTGACGAGAAGTCGGGCTTTGGACGTAGGTTGTTGTGAAAACGTGTGTGGGTATGTGTTGTGAATGTAGGTTGTTGTGTTGTATATCTGTTGTTGTCTTCAGGTGATCTGCGTTGTTGGCAGTTCTTGTTGCAAAACAACAGCCCCCATACGCAAGGCATCAAACGACTATCAAGCCCTTCTGGGGCATTCATGTTGAATCCAACTATGAGTATCTATTTTCCAAATTCTTGAAATGCTGTTCAGAAGGAATGTGATTGTCGGCTCGACATGGCTGGCTGCAATCTTTGTGCCAGTTGTATTTTTACGGCCGGTCGAAAAGTGGCCAGGTCTGCTGTAACTGGTAGGTACCGGTGAGTTGGGACTGGTCCGACATGCGGGGCTTACCCCTCGTTTTTGGCGTCGGCTGCGGCGGCGGCCACGACGGCGACGACGATGACGACCAGGGGCCATCACGCGCAAATGTGGACCACGATGATGGCGTCGACGACGGGCGACGGCGACGGCGACGTCTACGGCAACGTCGTCGGCGA